ACTTGCGATAGTCTTTCATAGCAGGCAGAGAATTAAAATTTAGGTTGCAATGTCACCTGACATCTACCATGACTGCTTTTCTTGGCAGACGGGAAAGCCTAACACGCTCGATGTAGCCTCTATGTGGGGACTACGTGAAGGTGCTATCAAAATTTATACTAAAATAAATGACCTAGACAATTTAGAAAAATTGAAATCTAACCAAATTTATAAGTCAATAAAAAAAATGCACATCCTAGGTTCCAAACACTGAAGTAAGTAAAAATGAACAAAAATCAAAGCATAACTGAGTAGAGCTTATAGTAAATTGGTACGAGAAGTAATTGCTCATCAGAAAGCATTAAATAAAACCTTCTCTTTTAACTTTTTTTTTTATCCGTGCACACCCAAATCCCCCAACAATACTCTTCTTGAAAAAGAAAATGTGAAAAATGAACAGTTTATGAGATTTCTCTATTTCTAGAGGGAAAATTTTATCTCTCTAGGTCTAGAAAGAGAAAGTGGAGAATTATGGAGCTTTTTGGTGTAGAGGGTGTAGGAGTATAGGGGAAGCTTTTTTATGAAGGTGGTATGAGGATTTGAGGTATGAAGAAAGAGATTACAAAAAATTAGGGTTAGGTTTAGATGAAGAATATGATTAGGAGGACGTGGAAGCGAAGGGAGAAGAAGAAGAGGAATAGGAAGCGGAAGAGAAGAATGGAGAAAGGAATAAGAAGGAGAAGCAGAAGATGAGGGGAGGAGGAAGATGTTACCTGGAGGAGGGCAGTGGCGGCGAGAATGACTTGCGAGTCGCGTGAGGGAGAGAGAAACAAGAGGGAGAGGGGGGTTGTGAGGGAGAGCGGGTTTGTGCGTGAGTTTGGCATGAGTGAGTGGGCTAATTGGGTGAGAATGAGGGTTTAAGTGTGCTATAAGGGTATTTAGGTATTAATTTTTTTAATTATTATCTCTTTTTTTAATTTAAATTACTATTTCTAATTAAATTTAAATATAAAATTGACATGAAAAATTTTAATTAATCGTGCCTTGAATCGATTGCCACGTCGTTGTCGTTCACGCAAATCAATGCCACCTTAATTCGCGTGTGCAAAATTTTGATTTTTTCCGATCAATGATACCAACTAATATGGGCGTCAATCTTCATTGTTTCAGCTATCCCGAACACCCTGACACTATCTGATTCGCGAAAGTCACAAACTTCATGAATTTCTCAATCTCAATGAAATTATCGGCTCTAATACCAGTTGTTGGGAACATAAAATTAAAGGGGGATTAAAATTGGCTTTTATATGGTAGTGATCAAATACCTTTTCAACCCAAAGCCTATGCTTATGAGCAAGAACTAATCATTTGATATTTCAATACCAAGATATTTTCTACTATCCAGTGTAAGACTATCTCATTATCTTTATTGTCCTTCACATGTTTCATTGTATGAGTTTGTCCATTGAAATTAGCAAAGGAATAGGTTTAAATTCAATAGTTTGTGTACTAAGGAATGTCATGAATGGAAGTAGCACGTTCTAAATGGTAATAAAACAACAAAATCAAGCCTTTATTACACTACGTGGGATCAGCTACATGAATCATTTTTCTCCATTGTGGCCGGTTAAGAGTCAAATTCTCATTTAGATCTAATAAAGAAAGGCCATTTCTAATATTTTCTAACAAAATCTTTTTAGGTCTATCTTTACCTTTCTTAACATAGGTTAAATCTAATACATCTACTCTCCTAACCGGGTCATTGGAATGCCGGCGTTTTATTTGACCAAACCATCTAAGGCGACTCTCTCTAATCTTATCTGCCATTGGAGCTATTCCAACCTTTTCATGTATATGCTCATTTCTAACCTTGATTGCCTTTGCTTTATATACTCTTGCTACACAAATGATTCACCATTTGCCTAGGCTTTCAGGTAGAGAGAGAAGAGGAGTAATTTCAGGTAGGTGGATTGAGAAAAGTACAATTTTTTAGAAAGTTGATTGTGAAGTTGCTATATGAAATGTAACTTAGCTACTCAGGTTGTACAAAGTAGTTTTCCTTCACAAAAATTTTCAAAACCAGTGAGAAAGCAATAATAAAGTAGTAGCCAAATGAAATTGCGGTTGTTGTTTGAAATGTAAAGCAACAAAAAAGCTGTCCAAACATACCCTTAAATGGAGAAAACCCCTATGGGCAGCTGTAGTTAGAGGAATTTGGAGTGGAATTCTTACTGGATTCAACATCGAATTGATAGAAAAAGATTCTAATATGGGCTATGGTAATTTTAGAAAAAAGAAACCTAATCCTAATTCAAATTTAAAACTAGGATAATAGTAATTTTACTTTATTTAAGTAATCCCTCCAATGAAACCTTGAAAAGTGGATGCTACTCCATCTTATCACCATGGCTAGCCACCCCTTGAGGGATGAGTGTTGTTTTGACTTTCTCCCTCCTTGTCTTCTCATTTTCTCCTCGTTATATATTTTGGGTGGGCCTTCACAAAGTCAGGCCTTCGGTGTAGCGTTTGGAGGTCTTGGATTTTTCTTCATTTAGTGACTTCTTGTATATCCGAGCACACAAACTTGCCATGCATGAAAAACAAACTTGCCATTTTATGAAATATTTTTATGCTTGTACTTGAGCTTGTAGCTTCTGGGATCAATAATGAACATAAAAATTAGGAGAATGAGAAAATTTGCTGTTTTAACTATTTACTTTACTGTTATTTCTCCTTTGGTACGTTTTAGCAATCAAGATTTATTGCAACAATGCACTCTGCTTTTCAGAATCCATCATTCTCATGATTTATTTTATGAATCTTTTAGGTGTAGATGTGATGTGAAACAACATGCGATGAACAAGAACTGCTTGGAGATTTTAATATAAGATTGTTAAAGCTTTGCTAGTTATAGAATTAATGCCTATCCAAGTTAGGTTTTCAGAATTATCAAGTCGAAATTAAGTAAGGCATGCGGTTACAACTAGATTAACGGGATAATATCAAATTGACAACATAGAATTAAAGAGTAATGTTATGGAGAGAAACAATAATCGACAATTAACAAATAGAACTTTTTACCTTGGGTCTCTCACATGGTTTAAAATTGCGCAATATGAGGCTCGCCTTTGCTCAATTCCAGTAAAAAACGCATCGATGCTTACGCCTCGAGTTTTTTTTTATGAGGCTTACGCCTCAACCAAGTTGAGGCCCGCCTTGAGGCCCGCCTCGCCTCACCGGCATGAGGCTTATGCCCACACTATATATATTAAAATTTACATAAATCTTGAAATAAATGCCCGACAATGGACTCCATAGGAGAGGAGGAAGGGGAGAGAACAGTTCATCATAATGATGATTCAAATGAAGAACCCCTTAGTGATGACAATGCTGATGACTTATGAGTTTTTATGTGATATGTCATTGCTATTTATTTTTAGAAATTGGAATTATATGTTAATAAAAAGAATACTATGATTTGGGAAATATAGAATTTTGAGTTGAACTATATTTCATATTGTCTTATTATTGGGATATTTTGATTTCACTTCATATCTTATGTTTTTTTATGTTTTATGTTATTCACTCATTAGTATATAAAAAATTTATCATTTTATGTTTACGCAATCTTTTGATTTTGAGGCTTACGCCTCAAAACGCCTTAAGGCTTACGCCTTGTCTCACGAATGAAAAACGTCTCAATACCCGAATACGCAATTTTAAACATTGCTCCTAAGAAGGACAGATCTTGGTGAATGTGTATCGGTAGCCGTGCTATCAACAAAATCACTGTTAAATCTCATTTCCCTATTCCGAGATTGGACGATATGCTCGATATGATGACGGGTGCCACTTTATTTTTCAAGATCGATCTTAAGAGTGGATACCACCTGATCTAGATCCAACCCAGTGACGATTGGAAAACTGCCTTCAAAACCAAAGATAGTCTCTACAAGTGGTTAGTCATGCCTTTCGGGTTGAGTAACGCCCCGAGTACTTTCATGAAGATCATGACATAAGTGTTGCACCCTTTTATGGGAAAGTTTGTCGTCGTCAACTTTGACGACATTCTCTTTTATAGTCAGTCGGTAAATCAGCATTTGGACCACTTAAGGCAAGTATGTGAGGTCTTAAGGAAGGAATAACTTTTTGCCAATCATAAGAAATGTACCTTCCTGGTAGATCGTGTCAACTTATTGAGATTTATTGTGTCAACGAGGGGAAGGGAGGAGGGGAATTTCAAGGGATTTGATTTGCTAAAAATCCACTCACCTCAATTCTCTTCAATCCGGATCTCCACGAAAATAACTTGACGAAAATTTAGAACTATTGAAGATAAAATAGTTTGGCGAAAAATCTAGAACTCACAAAGAGATCTATCTTCTCCGACAAACTCACTAAGAGATCGAGGAGGGTGAAGAACTCACCAAGAGATCTTCTTGAACTCACAAAGAGAACACATAGTAGAAAATTTTCATTCAATCAAAAACTAACTATTATATAAGAAAAGGGCCATATAAATAGGCCTCAAAATGACAAAGAAAACAAATACTAAAATGTCCCTTGGGCTACAATAGCAATTAACTACCCATAAGGGCAAAAATGGAAAAACATAAAAATCAAATAAACTACTACATAAAATGACTCAAAATAAAACTCATGATCGTGGCCGTCGATCTCCGGCGTCTCATGAAGGTACATGTGTCGAAATCTCTGACGATGTCCTCATCAAGATGTATCTTTAGTTATTTACTTTTCAATGCGTTGACTCATGTATGGAGAATTACCATGAACTCTGTTGAGATGTTGATTTTATCATTCAGAAAGCAATAAATATAAAAAAAAAGTACCCAGGCGTGTAGAGCCATGCTTATTTTTACAAGTCTATAAGGATCGTAATGCTCATTTACAACCTTTGATCAATTTTTAATTATAAAAAACATTTGCAAGATGACTTTGGCCGGTTTTTGTACCTTCTGATTATATGCGGGTGAAACACCATCAATGACATTTTAATGCAGGAGATTATAACGGGGGCTGGCCATACAAGTGCAGTTGATTGGTGGGCACTTGGTAAGTAAAATAATTTCTGCCAATATACAGTTGCGTGATGCCATGAGCTGTCTGTGTAAATTACTTATGGCAGTCGATAAAGATTGAGTTATATTAACTGTCCATACTGCAAATCAATATCTATTATAGGTATTCTTCTCTTTGAAATGCTCTATGGATATACGCCATTTAGGGGAAAAACTAGACAAAAGACATTTGCCAACATTCTTCAGAAGGATCTTAAATTTCCCAAAAGTATTTCGGTGAGTTTCTTTGTCTGACCAAGTATTTTTATTATATAGACAACAACAACCCAAATGTGCTATTTTTTTATGGATTCTTTGTCTGAAGGATTGCAACACATCTATACTGCAGGTAGGCCTTCACGCAAGGCAGCTAATGTATCGTCTGTTGCATAGAGACCCCCAAAACAGATTAGGTTCACATGAAGGAGCTAATGAAATTAAGCGGCACCCTTTTTTCAATGGAATTGATTGGGCTCTCATTCGATGCATGGTGAGGCAATTTAAATGTGCAATTCACCGCATTTTTGCTTATTTAAATTTCTTAGAACCTAACAATTCTCAACTTTATTCTTAATTCTTCCATTAACATATTGTGGAGTTTGTGCTACGCAGAGATGTCCAAACCTCGAAGCACCTGTATTTGACTCTGAAATGGAAAATGAATCTAAAGCAGTAGATGCTGAGCACCAAAATATCCATATAAGCGTCTTCTAAAGGTTTGATATGTTCCGCAATGTTATGTATCAATTTTGAGCTTCTTTTTCCTGCTTCGAAATTTCTCCTTCATTCAAAGAAATTTTTCCAGATTTACTTGCCAAAGCGAGTGCTTCTATGATGAAAATGACATCGAGGACATATCAAGTAACGCATTTCTTTCTTTCTTTTTATTTTTATTTTTTTTCAAATCTGGCTATGAAATTCCTTCTCAAGTTATTACATTAGATAATGTGGAAGCTGATCAGTTTCAAATTCATTTTCAAGTTTCGCATGTATTCGGGGAAGTGAGTTGCGTTGCAATAACAGTTCAGTAAATGTTTTATTGTAATAAAATGTGCACTGAATGCTAGTGTTTTGAAAGCCATTGAATCTGTCTGGTGAAGCGGGCGGCCCAGCCCGGCCTCTTCTTGTAATCCGTCGCCAGACAGATGAACTGCAAACTGCTTCGTTAGGCCTGGATTTGGCCTAATCTAAATAATTTCATAAATGTTTGTTATATGTTACAAATGATGCGCTTATCATGATTGGGGAAGGTGTTAATGCAGTGTAGTCGGGGTTAATGCAGTATAGTAGGTGTAATAGATTTTGTGGAGCAAGTTGGAAAAATTGTGGCGAAAGAGTTATCTTCAAGATATAGCGAAGGTGTTTAGAAGAATGTAGTTAGATGATTATGATTGAAGAACTATAGTTGGGCGTCAATGGTTGGAGGATCATAGTTTGACGATAGCGGTTGGGGGCATTGTAATCGAGCAAATGTGATTAGAGAATTATAGTTGGACGATGTTAGCGTTGAATGTTGGGTAATGCCTTAGAGTTCCTTTGATCTACAAGGTCTGTAGTCTTGAGTCTAGCCCTCTCATGCTAAGAATGAATGTTTATTTATAGTATTTTGGGTGGCATTTTAATAAATTTAGTTAAAATAATATAACATCCTATTGAGTTTATAAAATTTTTACGTAGCATTTAAGTGTCTTAAGGTGCCTAGAATTAAATGATTTTGGGCTCGGTAGATTCATCTTATCAATCCATTTTATTTAATTATATGCACGCAAGATTTAGAGATCAGTTTATAATTCAAATAACATTCCAAAATTTTTAGGGGCTTGTTTGGATTTGAATCAAACCATATTTAATGTCATTAGACTCGTCTTATTGAGACATTTAATTTGACTATAATTTTATTAAAATTGGAGCTTATATATTTTTGAATTTAATTTTAAAAATATCTAACACTGCTTTTAAATCCAAGCCAATCAAATAATTTTTTTTTGAAGATGCATCAATTATATTGTAATATATTCATGACATGTAGTATAATATTTATATTTATGTGTGACATTATTTAAATTTTAATTTCAACTGAGCTTGAAATTGCTTCAAAGCCAAACTGGATTCAATAGATTTTGAATTGAGATGCAAAAATTAAAAACTGGAATAAAATGAAGTATTGTAAGTTGAGCCATATTTGATTCTATCTTATCTCTTACCCCCTTAAAACAAAAGTTATTTTAACTGATATCTTTCAATTAAATTTATTATGTACACAAAATGTTTATCAACGTCTGAAATGTTTATATGCCAAAAAAAAAAAAAAAAACTTATGGTTCTGCAATCAGCATAGAACACGTTCAAAACCCATGCAACTCTTTAGCTTTTGTGCGATTTCCTTCGTATCTAGTAATATTGAACACCATGAAAGCTAACCCTGAGAAATAGGGAAAATTATTAGGTCTGGTCGCCGGACCTATTTCTAGGTCTGAAAATAGGTCTAAACATCCACTAAAAAATTGTCACATAAAATGTACATATGTCCGCGAAATTTTAAGTCAAGCGTAGGTAAAGAGCAAGAAAAGTGCATGTAAAATGCAGTCAAAAATTGTAGTCGAAACGCAAATAAAGAGTAGGCAAAGTACAGTCAAAATGTAATTCACATGGCAAGTTTTTATCTTGACCAGACCTAATAATTTTTCGAGAAATAGTGCTTCAGATGGACAAAGGAATTGCCACCAGATAAATTCCATTAGAAAAATCGCATGGAAATCCATAGTTCTCAATCATTATGAAAAAAAAAAAAAGAATGGGTGAAAGGCAATTTAAAACGGCTGAAAATTAACACTAGCTTGCTACAATGCCTTATTAAAGAAAAACCATTGATCGTAGAAACTTACAGAGAATTTCAGATCAACAAGACTGGAGATTGAAGGCCACTACTTGGAGAGTAAGAACAGTTCACATTGTCAGAGGCCATTTACTTCAATCAATACAAGTTGATAAATATTTTAAGAGTTCTTATTGAGGTTCTAGAATAGAATTCCAAGTAAAATTTATGTTTTAACACCAATATTTCCAAAATAAAAAATAAATAAATAAAAGAAATGCTTTAGCCAGACATAGAAACCAAGCAAATGCAGGTCATTCCTGCATCTGAGTCTGCTGCGTACTTAACGATGAAATAATTTAGGCTTCGATTGGGGCAGCTTTCTTACTGATTCCTAAAGCAGCTTTTTAGTTTAATAATTAAAAAATTTATACTAAAAAACTACTTTATGAAGCAGTAAGAAAGCCGTTTCAAACGAAGCCTTAGTCTCAAATAGCTGAGCACATTCAATGGCCACCCAGACAGTCTGACGGCCTTGGTATAGGCTGCCATCCAGCACAACGCTGAAGAGCAGCTTTCAGAGCAGCAGAAGCGGGTTCCACGGTACAAGTCTGGTAGTGTTCGTGAGCCTGAAATAAACATACATCGCCACAATCTTCCAGCAAACAAGGTTGAGCGCCATTCAGAAACAAATCTCCTTCAGATTTAATCCATCCTGAGGCACCCTCTTCCTTATCAGCTGCCTGCAAATATCAAACATAGGCTGGGCATAAGCTAGGACACGCGGGACTCTAAATAAATTCTAAATTTTTTACACTACCCGGACCCGACCTGGAAAAATCCGGGTTCAGTTTGACCCGATTAGCAAACGGGCCAAGTTCGGATTTGGATTTTTTGAATTTAGATGACAAAATCTTTTATGAATTAGAAGTATATTAGCCTTAGTAACATTTTTTTATTAAATAGTGATTAAATTTTAATAGTACGTGATTAGAATGTTGCAGAAAATGAAGAAAACTGAAATAACAATGATATGTAATCACATTTTTTTAATCTTGATAATATGCTCAATCAATTGATTAAAGCATAAAATTATAAACTCTGGTTCAAAAAATAAAATAAAGATTGCATATCATGGTAAGTAGTGACACGGAGTATATATAGAGAAGATGATATAGATAAGTTTAAATTTATTGAACAAATATTGGATGATTTGTAGTGGGATAAAGTAGATTACATTATTGTTTTTACAAAACCAATATATAACATGTTAAGAGAGGTTGATACTAACAAGCCTCATCTACACCTTATCTATAACATTTGGGATTCTATGATTGAAAAATTGAAAGGCATCATATATCAATATGAAAAAAAAAGAGTGATAATGAGCACTCCACATTTTATAAAGTGGCATATGACATTTTTGTACAAAGATGGAATAAGACCATTATTGTTCTTTCATCCCAAGTTAACTTTCAACTTTTTCAATATATTCGCCAATCAATTGAATAATTATGAATCTTACTTATTAGATGAATTCTTTTATTAGATACTATAACCACAATTGGCTAAGTGAAGCTCCAAATTAGGTTGCCCACATAAACATGTAGAAATATCAAAATGAAAGCAAGAAATAGATACTTGAAAAACATTTTTCCAAAAATTGAAGAGGGATTAATGATTAATTTGAAATTTGTAAATTTTTGAATTTAGTAGTGCTCTTGCAAATTATGACTATAACTACTAGAGACACTATAGATGAAGATGCTTAGTGGATGATATATAGTGTTTGTTCCCTTTGACGATGAAATTTGGCTTTTAAATTGTTAGCTTAATCATGTTCCTCTTTATGTTGAATAAGAAATTAGAGCATGTACTCTTTTATCATTTCCCTTAGGAATAAGATCACTCCTCTATGGAAAACAAGGGGGGCCGGTCTAGCTGGTGGGCGGAAGAGCCTTATGGGCACCAGCAGTGTGGGTAGCAGGCAAGAAGAGAGG